ATGAAAATAACAGAAATAGAAATTAATTGTTCAAAATCAGACTTAATAATAATTAAGTCAAAGGAAAAAAAAGAAAAAAACCGAAACAATAATCTAATAGATTCAATAAAAATAGGAAATAATATAATAAATTGTTTTGCTACACAAGAACCAATTAGATACTTGGGAGTATGGATGCAAGTAAATGGGAAAAAAATACATCAAATAAAACTAATGGAAAAAAAAATAAATTACACATTAGCAGCAATAAGAAAAGCAAAAACAACAGACAAACAAGCAAGATATGTCTTAAATCACGTGTTGGTATCACAATTGGAATACTTGACAATAGATAATATACCAACAGAACAATGGTTAGACAAACAAGATAGAAAAATAAGAACAACCTTTAAATACAAATATAATCTAGCAAAAACAACACCCAATTCTATAATACATTCAAGTTTAGGTTACAAATTATTTAGTATCAAAGATAGAATATATAAATAATGTCTAGTAGAATTTAACGACAGAATTAACCACCAATCCTTATACGGAAAAACAACATGAATAAGAATTCAATCCTTACAAAACAGCACGTGGACTATACTTGCACGCAAAATTATTTTGGGGTCCTGAAATTGCAATTTCGAGGAAAAAAGTCGAAATAGTTTTTCATAGAAGACGAAATTATTTTACTTAAAACCCGAAATTTTTTGACTACTCAGATTTATTCTTTGATTAAAGATACATATAACTAGGTACTTTTTTTACTTCCATATATAGAATAGATTTTGCATAAATCTCAAAATTTCGAAATACCTCAAAAATCCAAAATCAATTTTGGGAACATGTATAACGTGGACCACAACACCAATATGGAAACAAGAAATAAAAAATCTAAAAATATATAAAAAAACAAATCAAATAGTCAAAATATTAGAAATATCAAAAAAATATAAAATAATAATAAAAAACCAATATAAAAATAAAATTCCAATAATACCAACAGGGGGAATAATTACCATAGAACAAATAATAAATGACAAATAATACTATAGAAATATGGTAAAAACACTAAAGGAAAATAATTTATTATACACTGATCAATTAATAAATAATAATCCAGAAAACATTAGAATTCTAACATGGCCACAAGTCACAAAGGGTAAATATAAAGGAAGAGAACCATATTAGTATGGAAAATTCGAAGAAAAACTTTTAGAAGCAGAATTTAATTTTGCACAGCAATATGATTACATAAATACATTTAACCCATTAAAACCAATAAATGAAGAAACTAAATTCACAGTAATCAAAGTAGAACAAACAAAAAATAACGAAATACAAATAATACCACTAATAGGAAAAATCAAAAAAAGAAATAAAAATAATACAATAACAATAGAACATTATACGCAAATAGAAAATAACAATAATAACTTCAAATCACCATTACAACCATGTAGAGAATGTGATCTTTTTCCAAATCCAGAAAATGAAAAAATGAAAAAAACAAGAAGCCACCAAAACCACATGATAGACATCAAAACAAACGAAATACAAACATATTACTTGGACCTAAGGCAGTATGAACCAAAAAAAAATGAAAAAGGAAAAACAAACAACAAAGGAAAAATACCAAAAATGATATAATCTCCACAATCAACTCTTAATTTTTACGACTAATTTACAAAAGCAAATTATATAATAGATCAAGAAAATGCAAACAAAAACAAAGACCATAAAGCAGAAATAATAAATTATCCAGAAGATAAAGTACATGAAATAAAGAACATAAAATAAAAAATGACCAACTGTACCAATAACAAAATAGAAGCTTATACAGACGGGTCATGTATCAAAAAGAAAATTCCAGGGAATTTAATAGGTCAATATAAAAAAACAGTAGCAATGGGATATGGTATAGTAATAAAAATAGAAGTACAAGATAAAAAAGAAGAGTTAACTTTCAAAAGAATAACACAAGGACTACCATCATCAACTAGAGCTGAATTAATGACGATAGCAGTTTTATTAGATATATCTCCAAGAAATAAAACAATAAAAATATATACAGACTCAAGTGCAGCAATTGCGGCAATAAATGGATATAAAGATTTGAGAAAAAGGAAAAAAAGAAAATCATATAAAAACCCATATATACTACAAACAATAGAAGAAATAATAGTCAAAAAAGAAATAAAAATAGAACTAGTAAAAATTAAAGCTCACACAGGAATAAAATTAAACGAAAAAGCAGACCAGTTAGTAAAAGAAGGAGGAAATGAAATAAAAAAAATAAAAATAAATCCAAAATAATTAAATGTAATAAAATATTTTAACACAGTAAACCAAGAAGTTCTGGACATACCGATACAAGAATACATGAAAGAAATGATATCCATAAATTACTTGGTAGATTGGAATATGTTGTACAGAACAACTACAATATTATCAAAAACAATTATAACAACAACCGACTGAAAACAAACAAAAGAAACACTAATGTATTCAAGAATCACAGACAGCGAAACATCACAAGAGGATCAAAAATATAGAACATTTAAACTAAAACTCTTAATAGAAGGACTACCTACAATAAAATTAATGCATGAAAGATACCTGCAAATGTATCAAAATCCAAAATGTATTAAATGCAACAATCACGAAGAAATATCAATACACGCTCTAACATGTTCAAATGGAATCAAAAAACTTCAAGGAGAATTCTTTACCATAGTAGAAAAAATATACAGAAAGTACACAACCACTCAAAATTACATGAGTTAATTGAAAAAGAATTTAAAAACCACAGTGATTATCAAATAGACCATAACAGAATAAATACAGTAAAAACAAACGAATATTTAACATTCTCCTTTATAGACATAATAAGAAATTTAATACCAAAATCCTTTAAAAAAAAACTAAAAAAAATTATGAAAATAGAAACAAAAGAAATAGAAAAAATAATTAAAAATATAATCCAAGAATTTACAAAAAAAATACATAAAAAATGGTTAGAATGATGCGAAATAGTAAATAAATGGGAAGAAAATAATAATATAACAGCCGAAATAAAACGAAACACAAAAACACAGTATGTAAGAAATGAGGAAGACTATGAAAAAATCAAAAAAAAAATTAGAAACACGTAAATCTAAAATAATAGAAGCAACATTAGACAACTTATTAAATGTAACAAATACTTCTTTTTCATATATTTTATCTTCTTTATTTTTAAGCTTAGATATTAGTGGGACTGTGGTGGTGGAAACCTATTAATTTTAGAAGTAAACTTTAGTTTATTTTTAACGGTGGTAGGTTAATTGGTAGACCTAGTCTTAGATAGTTTTATTTCTTCATTTGTAAATTTTATACAATCTAAATGAAATAAAGCGAGACCGTGCCAGTCACTCAAATCAAATCAAATCAATCGTTGTTACATATAAAACATATTTTATACCAATAAAATCTCAAAAGCGATACTAAGTAAAATTAAAGATAATAATATTTTATATCTACTGTAAAAGTTTTAAATTCACATCTTAAGAATTAAAGGAATTATTAGCATTTATTTATTAAAGTTTAATTGTTAATTATTTCTTCTCTTCGCATGATATAGGCTTGAAACTTTTACAGTATATGCGCAATAATATTCTCTTGAAGATTACTTAGTATTACTTTTAAGATTTCATTGGCATAAAATAATGTTTTATATGTAATGACGATTGATAATTTTCTTTAAACAGTAAATGATCAACAATAATTTCGATCGTTTTTTAGTCGTGTCTAAGTAAAGTTCTGATTTTAACTAGAAAACATAAAATATGGTACTAATTAAAGTCATATATTTAGTATAGAGCTACAAATTCTTATAAGATAGTAAGCACTTCCGGTAGATAATTACTGAAATCGAAAGAGATTACGATTAATAATTTAACTTAATATTTTTGGTTAATTTTATTTAAGACAATATTTTGAAATGAGCAGGCATCCAATTTGAATAAATAAGATATCATGCGATAGCCCTTGATCTGGGGATTCTTTTAAAAAAAAGTTTGTGCTATTTAAATTATTCGTTGTGCCAGAATTCATCCTTGAAATTTTTTAAAAAATTTGAAAAAAAACAGCTGTCCAGATACTTTTGGCAGACTGGTGTATATTGTTTTTTGTTTTAATTATGAATACTATAATTAATTATCTAAAATTTTTTTTATTTAATTTATCAAATTTTTTCAAACTATCATATGACCTAAAAATATCTATTATACTAAGCATTGCTATTTTATTTTTAATAGTTTCCAGTGATTTATATTAGGGATGTGTAATTATTTAATAAAATTACATAGATATAATTAAATTTCAATAATTGAGTCAAATGCTTTTTTAATTTTGACAACATATATAGTATAAAATAGACAATGAATTTATAACAAGTTTTATTTAAAATAAACATAAAATAAACAGTTATTTTGTATAAAAACAAAAATACTATCTAATTTATTTTGATCAGTATATATCTCTAAAAGAATAAGAAAGAATATTTGTAAATTATTCATTTCAACTGTATTTGAGATTTACATTTATTGACCTTGGAAATCTATAGTTTAACCAATGTTGCCTACACTTAGGTGATCAAGTTTTTAATTTAAAAGAAAAAATGAATATTAAAAATACATATAATAAAAAAATCTGGATACTAATATTATAAAAATAAAAAAAAAATATACTTGTCACCGCTGGTGATAGTCACTGTTGGGCAAAATTAACAAAGTTAAGGTTACAGGGAATTATGTAATTTTGCCCAGTGGTGACAATCACCACTGGTGACAAGTAGATTTACCCATAAAAATAAATTATAAAGCAGATAATTACAAGAAATCTATTTATTTTTTTTTGCTATAAAAATATATTTTTTTTAATTATTTGAACTGGTAATAATAATAATAGATGAAAATATTAACATAATAACTAAAATGAGAACTATATGAAGGAAAGAAGAAAGAATAAGTAAATCATTTATCAAGATTTACAAGGTATGGAAAAAAGTATGTCAATTTACCTCCAAGAATATTCCTATATTTAGCAAGCATTTTTACAGACCTTTTCTCTCTTTCGACTTGGTTCTGGAATGTTGTCAACTATTCAAAAAATAATTAAGAATAATTTAAATAATTGCATAAAATTAGAAATCCCCCAACAAACTAACATACTAGCTCCTGTTGTTGCTTTAGAACTTCACTTTTGTCATTAATTCGACTTCGAATTGAAGGCATCTTTTCTACAATTCTTTCAGTGGTTCCATTTGCTGTGTCAATGGTTTTTTCCATTTCTTTAATTGATCTGGAACGTGTTAATGAAATGGACTCATCCAAATTCTAAAAATCAATGATTTTCATTATTAAATATAAAAAAAAAATTGAGAACAATCACATATAATAAGTTCATACAAACTTTCGCAAGACGATCTAAATCTTGAAATTTTTTTATAGTTAAATCAAGTTGTTTTGATTTTTGACTAATAATTTCCTGTTGAAAGTGTAACAAAAAAAAATAGGTGAATGATTAAAATGATTAAATTTACAAGTATTTCGTATAATTTTTAATTATAATTGACCTACCTGTAAGGCGACTATTTTTTCATCATATTGACCACAATTATTTATCAATTCCTCAATAAGTTCAAGCGCACCACTATGAAATCACGCAATTTCATTAATAAAAGTAAGAGAATTATTTTATTATAGGTTACCGTGAACAACCTGCTTTCGGCTTCGGAATCAGTGATATACATGCCGTCGAAATTCAGGAATTACAACGGGTTACGACATTTCGGCAAAGCAAAATAAATTCTGTAATGTTATAAAATTCTGCAATCATTATGTAACACAAAAATGAACTAAAATTATATTTAAACATAATTATTATTATTTTATATGCAATTAACTTCGGAAGAATGAATCTGTGCAATAACTTTACTTGAGGAAGGTAGTGGGTAAAAGAATCGGTAACGTTGCTCATTCAACAATTAACAATATTACAAATAAAAAAGGACGAATAAATTAGAAAAGTATAATGAAGCGTTGAATAAATTTTAATAAAGTATCAGATAAAATACTTTGTGAGGTGAATGGAATGATTATAATCGCGTAAATCCTGTTACAGAGTTAGTTACAGTAGGGTAGCAATAATTTTTGTAATCAGTTCTTAATAAGAATTCCAATATAGTGTAAGAGGATGTATAAGTGAATGTGTAAGAGGAACAAGGAGAACATTAAAATTTAAAGAAAAATAGTTTTGTGAAAGAATAGAAATATGGAATAATCTTTAGTTACACAATTCACATTTCATTAGGTTTGGTGAGTTTGTATTTGTCAAGTTTTACTTATCTGGTGAGAAAGATAAAAGATTGAAACTATAATGTATAGATAATTTACTTGCCTGGCAATATAAGAAAGATAAAAGATTGAAGCAATTATATAATTTACTTGCCCGGTAATGTAAGAAAGATAAAAGAGGCAATTGAGAAAATTTGCTTTTATATCAAGTCTCAAATAAATTTGGTTGTAAACTATAAATTTCTCATAACTGAACTATTACGCTCAAGGATATATGTTCCTTATAATGTATAAGCAAGAACAATAAACTTAATTAATTTAATTAATTCTTAAAATATACAAATTTTAAATATGCCTATTATATAATTGTTTCGTGTCACCTATGGGTGTGGTGGATGTTGGTGGATGTGGTGTGATGTGCAAATTAATAAATTTAAAATTTAGAAATATTTTTTGAAATGGAGCGGAGAGACATTCTACGACGAAGACCTATGCTTCAGTTAGATCAACCCATTTCATCAATCAGAGCAAAAAACAAAGGTATTTTATTGTTCTGTCCATTTTACTTCTCTTTAACCTACTTTACTTATTCTTTCTGTTGATAGCTGCCGATGAAGCAAAGAAACGTCAAGAATCAAAAAATGTATTACAAGAACTCCTCGGTGAATATAGTGAAAGTGATGATGAGGAGAACGAGGAAATTTCTCAGATTGGTAGGCCAAGAAATTCTTGCGACTGTTATATATTGTATGGCATTCTTCTTTAAACAGACTTCTGAAATCACGGTGGGCGATAAATGAAAACTATCCGAGAGTTAGTGTACCTCGTAGAGAATTGAATTCTCTTAAACAGGAAATGACTGATCAAAATTTTTGAAAAAGAGTTCCCGTCTAAAGGAAAGGATGTGACCGTTTCCTTAAACTCGCCTCTTATACCATCAATTCCCCCTGCTCAATCTCATTCTCCTCCTACTTCCGAACAATCGATTACAATGGATCTATCCGAGGATAGTATTGAAACTGCTTTGAAAAATTTCATGTCCGAAATCAACGCTCTTCCCATTACCTCGATAAATAATGATTCCTCCGTGACTACTTCCGTGACTACTGTTGAAGATTCAAATTCTAAACCGAAAAATGATAAAGCCCAATTTTCCTCACAAATTTTCTCTCTTGAAAATGATTGGCAAGAACATTGGAATCAAGAAAATAACAGTCGTTATTTTTATAATAGCAAAACTGGCGAAACTCGTTGGGAAGTTGATATACAAAAAAATATTATTGATTCTACAATCTCAAAGGAAAAAAGTGATAATTTGGAGACAACTTCCAATGACAGTTACTATTCAGTACCTTATATTGCAACTATCAACAAAGATGAATCTAATTCACTAACCGTTCCATCACCTGATTCTCCACTACATCATCGTTCCCGAGATATATATGTACGTCTATCAAGTATTATGCCCTTGGTGACACACATGAAACTTGAAAGGCATCAAATCGAATTTGCTACCAGATTACATGATTGGCAAATCGGCGCCCTGCAAACAGTTTATTTTGAAAAAACCATTCTGGAAGGATTGGAAATGTTACTTCAAGGTCTAGAAGGTATGTTTAAAAAAAAATTTATCTTTAAAATTTATCTGTTAAATCATTAATTAATAATTTTGTTTATTATAGAACAAATTTCACCGGCGGGTTGGACCTGTAAATGGAATTCCGAGACTCAAAAGCATACTTGGATTCATTTACAGACTGTATGAAATTATATCAAAATTATAATAAACTTATAACCAAATTATGATTAAAATTATAACAAAATTATAATAAATTATAAAAAAAAAAATTATTCTTTGCTTTTAAATTAAAGATATTTATTCTTTTTTTTAAAAAAAATTATATAGAATCAAATTTCCTATACATATCCAAATCCCGATTTTACTAGTTCACTCTCAATGCATAATAATTCTGTATTGGTAAATCACCAAGATTATGTTGATTCTAATGGTTTAGATAATGGCTTAGATAATGATTTAGATGCTCGATTTACGAGTTCTTTAGTAACATCGTCTCAATATAATCTACAAAGTTATCCCGTGGAATCTGAATTTATGACTATATCAATAATTCATTTTCTAAACCGTTAAATCAGGTACAGAAAACTCCTCAACCACCTCTCCCACCTTTGCCACCTCTTCCTCCTCCTCCTTCATCGCGATTTGATAACAGCAATCTTGATAATTTGCCTGAATCCTCAGATGATGACGGTGCTATATCTGCGATGAATTCACAAGCATCGACTGGACAAGGTTTAATTTCAACCGTTACTAGTGAAAAAAAGCGAAAAAAAGAAAAAGAAACTTTAAGTTCTGGTTTTAAAAATAAAAAAATGGTTGTTATTTAAATGTCTTTATAATTATATGATTATATTGTTTTACAGATTATATAGATTATATAGATTATATAATTTATTATTTATTTTTAGGCAAATCTTGTTGAAAAATGGAAAGCCGCTGAGGATTTCCTTGCTAACACTGATTGGGAAGAAATTAGAAAACAACAAAATGGGACGATCAAAGATTCGGAAGCTTGGATAAGAGAACAGATAGAATCAGGTGAAGCCTCTAACAACCCTAATTTGGAACCAATAAAGGGTGATTGGCGACAAAGAATCAAGAATAAAAAATCCGATAAAGATTGAAATGTTTGACCATAGATTATATATTACACCTTGTAATCTTATTATTTATATGGATTATCATTTTTGGTAAGTAACCTGGTTAACAAACCAGATATTTATCTTTTTCCAAGTTTATGATGCCCGGTTTGTAAAATTAGTGGAAGATCATTTTAGCTGAAAATGAGGTGGTCGTGGATTACAGCCTAATTTTGATTCTGTAAAGGAAAATGAACATATTTATTTATGTATTGGTTTGTTTTCTTATTTTTCCTAATTCACTTGTGCTTTCTTTCATTTAATACTAACTTAATCACATTGATCTTAATCATCCTTTATTATTAAAGGATTAAATTATGAGATTAGATTGATACAAGAGAGATATTAATAAACAATGATTCTCAATGCTCAGGCGAAAAAAAGAGTCATTGAACATTATCATATGTAAAATATTTCTGACATTTTTGTTTTTATTCTTTTAACATTTTATTCTTTCAAGATTTATTTTAGATCTTCTATAACCTTGTCTATCTACAAGTTTGCCAAGGTTGGTAACAAGGATTTATTTGTAATTATAAAATTTTGATTTTCATTCAATGACAATTTTTTTTTTTTTTTAATTTTTTATAAATATTTATAGGATTGAAATCTGATTTATTTGATTTATTTGATTTATTCTAATATATAAAATAATAAATTCAAAAATTCCATTACAATCTTGTGAATTAAAAAATTATTAAAAAAAAAAATTATCAAAGTAATAAAGATTAGTTTTTCAGATTTAGATTCCCTCGTATTTTTGGTATTTGAATTGATGTCTTGAATACGTATGAAAATAAATTCATACATATGAAATTTATGCAAAATGTAAAAAATCTCTTTAATTTAATCAACTCATAAGATAATAAATTTGTTATACATCAATTTAAAATTATAAAAATTTTAAATTTTAAATTTACAATAAAACTTTAAATGGAATTTCATAAAAAAAAATATTGTTATAAATAGAAATAATTATAAAGATATGATAATTACGCATGAAATTTAATATTTTCTAAAATGGGGATGATTTCTTCCCATAATTCAATACTCTGTGAAATTTGTATTTTTTACCATAACCGTTAGTAAGAAGAAATTACAAAGTTAATATTTAAGATCGTCATTTTATAAAATAATACCTGGCGATAAAATTCTACATGACTGTCAGCGTATAAAAGTAAGTAATCTTTCATTTCAATTGTTTTTCCAGTTTGAAATACTTCAAATTCTTTGGCTACCTCAGATGAAAATTTATTTGCGACATCATTACTACTTTCGACTTCCTTTTGAAGCTACAATTAGAAAAGAATTAAATAAAATAAGAAATTTCATTAAATTTACAAACTTGTAAACAATCAACATATAAATTATAATATAATTATTACCTCTAAAATTTTTGTATCTAGCTTTTGTATCTTTTCTTTCTTAGCTTGTTCTTGATCTATACCTTTTATATTATCAACCTTTTCGCGTAAATATGAAGATATACCAGTAGATGCTTTTCCTGTATTGACAAGATTTGCTTTCTCATTCAGAGCATTTTGCAGATATTCTGAAAGCTCTTCAAAATCCACTTGTTTTTGATCTCGTAATTTAAGAACGTTCTATAAAGGATTAATTTATCGCATTGATTAATATATATATATATATTTTTTTTTTAGAAAAATTTTATATTCATTCTTTTACATTACCTTAACACAATGACAATAAGTAAGATAGTCGTGAATCTGATTCAAAAAACCATGTTCTTCTCGGTCCGTCTGAGCAAGCAAATCAAAATTACCAAATAAAAGGTGTTGGTTTTCAAACATGAAATGTTTATATGTTTTTTTGATTGCTGGACATGAAAGAGTGGCAAACCATCTGTTTCCATGCATCTGCAAACTTGGAAACTGTGTCCCCAAATTGTTGCAAAGGCGCAGTGATTTCCGTTTCTAATTGACCCATTCCAGTGACGCTGGAACCGAATTCTCTATAATCCGCCTCTAGGTCTAAGATAAATAAATAATAATTATCATTAAAAACAAAATTAATTTATTTTCTTTTAAAATAATAATAATAATAATAATAATAATCATCTACCTGTCTGTCTTTTAATTATCTTTTGATATAGTCTCTCAACTGCTTGCAAATTTTCTTCGAGTTTTTCGACACTTTCTTTCATTTCAACAAATCTTTCATCTGGTTTTTTAAGTTTAGAAAATGCATTAAGCAGGGCATCTCCCAAATTCTCAAAAACACCATCTCCGGCTTTCTTTTGTTTATATTGCCCATTCTATTTGGATATATTTTGAATATTAAATCGAATTAATCGAATTACATAGTTATTTTGGAGAAGATCAAACCAATAATATGTAACTTGCCCAATCTCTTGATTCCAAAAAAATTCTAAAATATTCACTCTTTTGTAAAGTTGGATGACGAGCTATTCTTTCCAAAAATCTTTGAAGGCTATATTTACAATACAGATATTTTTCATAAATCTTTTTGTAATAAAAAAAAAAAAAAATCTCAAAATTAAAGTAAAAACTAATTAATACCTTGCCCGTCTCTTTTCTACAAATTCGGGTCCAAATCTGTCGCCGGTTATATATTCTTAAAAAAGATAATGTAATTTAAAATATTTTAATATAATTTAATTTAATTTTAATAATTTTTCAGGCAATTATTTGTACCCATTCTATGTTTATCAGGTAATGGTGGAATAACACAAGCAGCAAAATCACGACTGAGTGAATTATATAGAAGTACGAAGTCTTGAAATCGCCGTCGAACTTTCGCTGTAGGCTCAAGAAATGTGTCCAAAGTTGTCTATTAAATAATAATAATAATAATAGATAAAATTAATTTTAATCTCCGGAAATTTCCAAAAGATAAGGATTGAGGTTAAAGAATACCTTGGTAGTTATTAAATAAGAAATAAAAGCATCTTTGGTTCCATCTAATTGTTTTTGTGGTTCTGTGACAGTTATTTTCATAGGAAATAAAACTGGCACGACAACATTAGATAAATATGAATCTGGTGGTTGATTTGTTTTCATAGGATCTGCAGCAGGATAGATAAGTGATGATGTCGCTAAAGTCTGGATAAAGAAAAAATTATAGAAAGTTGGATTCTCAACCCATTAGGTATTTTATTTATTTATTTCGTTATAGTTTTCAGCGTACCGAGAACATAGCATCGTCAACATTGCTAAAAGTTGAGTCCTCATTGTTGCTTTCAGTTGCACCATCAGTATTTTCATCATCTGAAAGATCTTCGGGTTGTAAAGAACTCGTTGCTCTAGTATCCCAAGTTACATTATCATAATCCTCCCCGATAAAATTCATATTTGTTATATGTATCGCTTTTTGAAAAAAGCTCGCCTTTTTATTTTCATTACATCACATGAAAATGACGTAATTAATTTATACACTTTTTTTTTTTTACATTCTTTTTTTTACATTCTTTTTATATTATTATTATTAATTAATTAAAAAATAAAAAACAAGATTAATTATTAAAATTATAAATACTTCCAATTTTTTAGAAATAAATAATGATCTTTGTCTTTATTAAATAAAATAAAATGAATTCAGCAAATACTTTATTATAATAAATAGAACCTTTTAACTGTTCTAGAAATAAAAGTAAGAATTTCACCAATCGTTGACGAGACAAGCGTTAATAGAGGCGTTTCCAGCGTTTCCAGAACAAACCCCTTTATTTTCTAAATCAAAAGACCAATTATGTTTCATACAAAATAGTTTTGAACCTATGACAATTCCCTATCAAAAAAAAAAAATTTTTTTTTTTTAAGAAAAATTGGAAAGCAATTAAAGATATCAAAATTATTATTTAAGGAAACTGTAATACCCGTGCACTAAGATCCGTTTTAGCATGCGGACACCATCTATCAACTTCGTAAATTTTTCCGTTAGTAGTTTTTACTTTCATTCTGTTCTCATCTACTTTTTTGTTAGATGGAGGCGAAAAAAGGGTTGGTTTTTCATTTGGAAATAGGTTTGACTGCATTTTTTGTGACTTCATTTGTAATTTCTCATCATTAGAAATCGGAAGAGGCTTAGAAGTTTCCTTTTTAATTATGTTGTCATTCATGTCATTTGGTACCAATATCTCTCCAGATACTCTTCTACTATTTCTCTTCTTTCCTTTTTTTTTTTTTTTTTTTTTTTTTTTTTCATTTTCAGAGAGGTTATTAAATATTACTTTTCATATTTTAATCTTTTTAATTGTACTTTAAATATCCAAACCTGGATTAACATATCCGCGACTAATTGCCTCACGTAACAAATCTTTGACAATCGGTAATAATTCGATTCGCTAATAAAAAGGAAAGATCCAATTAAAAATAATTAAATAAAGTGTACCTACCTAACAATTTTCGAAATATAATTAGTTACCTCCCAACTTTCTTTAGATAATACTCGAAGATCCTTTACTGTATAAATTCGATTTTTAATCAAAATGGTTAGATCCGACTTTAATTGATCTTCAGGCCACGAATTTTCTACACTGATTTGTTTAATCACGGAATCGATTTTCTTTAAAAAAAACGTCATCACGTTAATATAATCCTTGATACAGAGACTTCACATATAAAATTTTTAATGGTTTACCATATAATCAGATAAAGAAACGTCTTGGGAGTTATAAATATGAGAAAACCTATCCGAACCTTTTAAATAAACCAAATAACAAATAAATCAAATAATCAAATAAATCATTTTTATCAAGTTTCAAAAAAGGGCTATAAATATTTAATTCTTACTAGGTTTCAAAGAAGTGTTAGTAGAATTCATATTTTTCAAATAATAAGCAAAGAGCACTTCAGATTTGTTTCTATTATTTCTATGCATCATTTTTTTAGATATCGTCTAAAGAATGAGGAAATTTTGAATGTAAGGAAAGATCGAAGAGAGAAAAAGTATGAAAAATTCGTAAAATTATATTTTTGAAAATTTTGAATTTGGGAGTTGTTATATATTATAAATGACTATAATAATATTAATCGACCATAAAATCTCGGGATTTTCTTTGTTACACATCGGAATAATATATTCTTATATTATTTAGATTATTATATTATTATAACCACATAATAATATAGTATGGATCACATGATTATGCAAGATGATGTTAATTCATTTTCTAACAGCCAATTCCTATAGTCATTTATAGTATTTTAGTAAATGATGTGACAGGGATATGTGACAATTAACTTTTAAACAAGGAAATTTTGACCTTTGTACAGTATACACATATTTAGTTGAATGGCGCAACACTGTACGAAGTCTTCCTCCTTAATCTCTATAAACATTTTATTGTGAACAATTCTCTATTGAAAGAATTCCTTAGATTCCTTATTTATTCAATCTCATTTACCATCGGTGAGCGTTTCTGAGGATTTCTCACATTTACATTCATTTGGTACATAAGCGTCATAAATTTTAAAAAACTGGATCCTTATCTTTTTTATTAAAATACTTTATTAATGTTTCGCGCCAATTCTTACGCGTTACTAAAATTATTTGTATCGACTTAGATCTCAATCATTGTGTTCTAGCTGCTACCTTTTTAGACATTTTTGGTCCTCTGAGTATTTTATAACAAAATTTAAATTTTAAGGAATAAAAGAAAATAATGGGTGTTTGTTTGTCTTGTTTTTGTGGAAGTATGTTGACATAATATCTTTATTAGTTGTCAACTTTTTTTTTTTTTTTGGTATTTTGTCAATTAATCGAGTTATTTAATTTTATAGGAAAAAATAGGCATGGGATTTATGAGCCTTTGTTACAAGAGAGTGAAAGGGAGGCTGTCGCTGATTTATTGACATATCTCGAAAGTAAGATAACACATTATTAATTGGTTAATTGTTAATTGGATTTTGTGATTTAAAAGATTTATAACTTTTTATTTTTTATTTTTTTATTTTATTAGATCGTGCTGAGACTAATTTCTTTGAGGGTGATCCATTACGAGCACTCTCAACGCTAGCTTTCTCAGACAATGTTGATTTACAACGGTCAGCGGCATTAGCCTTTGCAGAGATAACCGAAAAAGGTATTCATTAATTTAAATTATATATATATGTTTTATTAAAAAATTCAATTTTTTTTTTTTAATCTATCTCAAAAAACGGGCGATCCAATAAGATGTTAGGGAGGTAGACCGAGGGACTATGGAACCTATCATGTTTCTTCTTCAATCACATGATGTTGAAGTTCAACGTGCTGCATCTGCTGCGCTGGGAAATTTGGCCGTTAACAGTAATTATCTGCATTAAATTTATATTTAATCTATATTTAATCTATATTTAATTTATATTCAATTTTGAAATTTTCAAAATTATTAGCTGAGAATAAATTACTTATTGTCCAAATGGGAGGTCTTGAGCCATTGATTCGTCAAATGTTATCTCCCAATGTCGAAGTTCAATGCAATGCTGTAGGATGCATTACTAATTTAGCAACGCATGGTAGGTTTATTACAAATGAATCTTGATGCATTTGATGTCCGAGGAAGTTGTTATTACAACGAGTGGATTTCGTTTTAATAATCTTTTTGGATTTTCAGACGAAAATAAATCAAAGATCGCAAAATCCGGTGCATTAGTACCATTAACTCGTCTGGCTCGCTCAAAAGATATGCGTGTTCAGAGAAATGCCACTGGGGCTTTATTGAACATGACACATTCAGGTAACAATAACTTTTTATTTATTGGTTTTTGATTTAATTATTTTTTTTTTTTTTTTTTAAAAAAAAAGGTTATTTTTAAACTTTTTTTTTTTTTTTATTTATTTGTAACAGACGAAAATAGACAACAACTTGTTAATGCGGGAGCGATACCTGTATTAGTTAGTCTTCTAAATTCTTCAGATACAGATGTACAATATTACTGTACTACCGCACTTAGTAATATCGCCGTTGATGGTAATATTGCACACCTTTTTTTGAAGTAACTTCTTTATGTAGAGTTTTTTTTTTCTAATTTCATCAAATTCTTAATAGCTTTAAATCGAAAAAAACTTGCGTCGTCCGAAACACGATTAGTGCAATCGTTAATTGGATTGATGGACTCGACATCACTTAAAGTACAATGCCAAGCAGCTTTGGCGCTAAGAAATTTGGCATCCGATGGTCAGTTTTAATTTATATAAATATTTATTTATTTATTTTTTATTATTATTATTTTTTTTTTTACTTATAAAATTTAATTTTCTTTGTTTTTCATTAGAAAAATACCAACTCGAGATTGTACGTTCTCGTGGTTTACCTCCCCTTCTTAGACTCCTTCAATCATCATTTTTACCTCTGATCCTATCTTCAGTTGCATGTATTCGTAATATATCTATTCATCCACTTAACGAGTCTCCAATAATTGATGCAGGATTTTTATCACCATTAATTCAACTTTTGGCTTATGAAGAAAATGAAGAAATCCAATGTCATGCAATTAGTACTTTAAGAAATTTAGCCGCTAGCTCTGAAAGAAATAAAAGAGCTATTGTGGATGCAGGTGCCGTTGAAAGGGTACGAGAATTAGTTTTAAATGTTCCATTGAGTGTACAAAGTGAGATGACTGCTTGTGTGGCTGTTTTGGCGTTGAGTGGTAAATTTATAAATTTAATTTAATTAATATTTTAATTCACCAAAATTTTGGATTAAAAAAAAAAAAAAAGAAAGAAAATTCATTATATCCATTCTTTTGAATTGCAGATGAGTTAAAACCACGATTGTTAAGATTGGGTATATGTCAAGTTTTACTTCCCTTGACAGCTTCGTTAAGTGTTGAAGTTCAAGGAAACAGTGCTGCTGCATTAGGAAATTTATCATCAAAAGGTTAGGTGAATTTCATTCTTTGATTGAAATCTATTTTATAGGAATCATTTAATTTCTGATATTTCTGATATTTCTGATATATATATATTGCAGTACAAGATTATTTACCGTTTGTTGCAGTTTGGGATCAACCTTCTGGTGGTTTGCATGGATATTTAAAACGGTTTTTGGAAAGTTCGGACAAAACATTTCAACATATTGCTGTCTGGACAATTGTCCAATTTTTAGAAGGAAAAGGTAAATAATATATTTTCATGATAGTCCAATAACGATAAAAGGTGTTAATAAATAATTTTATTTTTAGACCGGCAGTTATGTAAAAATATATCAGATTCAGATTCAATTGTTTCAGCAATAAAACGATTAGCAGAATATGGAATTATTTCTGATGGTGAAGAACCCTTAGATGATGATGATGAATCAGATGAAGGAGAGATTGTAGCTTTGGCCCGTAAGACTTTGTCTATGCTACCCGCCAGTGGAGATGGGAGCATCGCTTCCAACCCACGATAAGAGAATTATATATATATATATATATAATATATTATTTTAATTTTTTATTTATGGATTTAATTATTTTATTTTATTTGTATTAAAAGATACGTCAAGAATTTCTTTTTAATTTTTTGAGTTGTACATTTTTGCACAAGATTTATGATATTTTGACATTTCTTTAGTTAAATATTTATTGACTTTCTATTGTATTTATGCCATTTTTGGAACCTCAAAAGCATTGCTTTGCATATTTTTTAATATATATATACATTTCTTTTTTACATGATTTAGTGATGTGTGATTCTTTTTTTGTATAAAGTATGGATAAGATTTTTTTTTTTTTTACTGTATTACTGTATAAACAGTATTGGAATATTTGATATATATAGTTATTTATAATTTTTATATAATAGAATAGTAGGAATTAACAATATAATATAAACAATTACGTCATCTTTTATATGTAATAGTATTAAATAAATAAATTTACTTCCATAATTAATTTATATCCTTCTTTTGACTAGTGAATAGTGAAATTAAGTACATAATACGCCATATTGCATTAATTATTTTAAATTTTGTTTTATAATTTTTCGATCTTATTATTAAAAATATAATTTGGCTTTTATTTTCCAAATTTATCTAAATTTTTATAATCTGGAATAGGTTCCCGAGTTTTCTTGGCATATTTTATTTTCTCGTGATTTCGTGGCATTTGTGGCATTGCTGTTTAAGGCTGTTAACATTCATTTTGTATAAGATAAAAGTTAAGGATGACTAGATTAAGAATTTACACTATGATATTAGTTATGAGGCTTATGATATTCTGAAAAAATATATAAAGAAGCCGCAACTCTATCTAAATATTTGTTTGTGAAGTTTATCCGATAAAAAAAAAAATATTTTGAATTTCACAACAAAAAACTTTCAAGATGTATAACTTTAAAAATTCTTCCATCAAAGGAAATTATGCATTATTGAGAATTCTTATATGCCTACTTGTTTTATTTTCATCAATTACCTACGCAGAAGGCAACAGTGGGACAAGTGTTACTATTCAAAGTGTTATCTTGGGAATTATTCTCATTGTGACTGGAGTTGTTTTTTGCTTCTTTGGAAGGAGAATATGGCGTCTGACCTTATTTTTGTTAGGATTCTATATCGGCTGTAAGTATTTTGATCCATTTAATCACGTGATAATCCATGAGAATTTAATTTACGTTCTCGTTTAATAGGCATTTTTGGGTGGATTATTCTCACTAATTTTGAACCGGATGACGGTTATGGTGGATCAGCAAGCCCAACAATTATGTTAGTCCTTTCTTTGGTATTCGGACTTGTTGGTGGCTTATTATTTGTTTTTTGCGCTTCAATTGCAATTTGGCTGTTAGGTGCACTTGCTGGTTATGCGTTGGCAATGTTCCTTCTTTCTTGGTCATCTGGTGGAATTATTCATTCAAAGACTGGTCAAATTATTTTTATTGTGATATTTGCACTCGCTGGTCTCCTTCTAACCTTCTTCTTTGAAGAACACGTTATCATTATTGGAACATCATTTATTGGCTCTTATGCACTCTTTATTGGAATTGATATGTTTGCAAATACTGGATTTTATAATTCAGTTCGTGCTTTTATGGATGGAAATCATGATATTGATTACGAGGCGAATACGAAAGTCTATCTCATGCTTGTAGGTATGATTGTTGTTTTCGTTATTGGTGCATTATGCCAATATAAATGGCATCGTGGTGATAAATTCGGGCCCGAAGATAGAAAAGGCAAACTCCGCTTTAGGTCAAATAAGGAAAATGTTTAATTGTTTAATAATATAAAGCACTGCATTTAAATTCGTTCTTTGAGTAAATATATATATGTTACCTTAGAATAATATTCTTTTGTAAAATTAAATAACATCATATTGAAATGCAAATTTTTAGAAAAGTTTCACACCTGTTTTAACACAAAGTGTGAATGTAATTCAATAGAAGTTGTTTCTATTTTTATATATATATATATATTATTAATATTATATTTCTTAATTTTTAATAACCATATTTTACCCGGTGATTTGGTTTGAAACGTATTCAATAACTATTATTTAAGATTCAATTATAAAAAAATATTCTTTATATATTTTTTATTAATATTATAATAAAAAGTTTTCAAGATATACTATTGGATTTTTTTTTTTTCTACTTAATTTATAGCTTTGTTTTACTTTTAAAAATGTCAGTTGAATTGTACGAAAATTGCTCAAATAAAATTAGTTTGTTTGAAATATTACCATTTAAAGTTTATATTTTAATTTTATTTTAAATTTATTTTGACAAAACTTCTCTCTCTTTAAATTAACTTCAAAAATTATCTAATTAAGATTATTTTGAAGAAAAAATCTTACAACTATTGTGCAATATTAAAGACTTGTGAAATTAATTGCAGGTACTAATGATTCTGGTGGAAACTAATGATGCCTGATGCAACTAATTTCTGAAAGTAGAAACAGTAATAAAATTTCAAAAAGTAGCTACCTGAAATTGCAACCTGAAATCAAAAGTAGCAACCTGAAATCAAAGTTGTAACCTGAAATCAAAGCAATAACTTGAATTTATAGTAATCTAAAAACAAAATAGTAATCTGAAATCAAAAATAATGACATAAATTTGCATTGAAACTAGTAATTATCTAAAGTTATATCGTTTGCTTCCACATCCAAGGGTAAAAGAGTTTATTGTTTCTTCCACATTTTTGAGATACTGTAATGTGTGGCGAATTATAACTATCCTATTACATTATGTATATGGAATATTAACATATATTTTACGTATTAATGGAACCTTGATAAATGGGCAAAAAGCTAGAGTAGATATTACTGGCATTAAATCTTTCTTTGATGTCATTGTTCCAGATGGAGAATCACTAACTATTAAAAACAATTTAGTTAGAATCACATCTAAAACTCTCAAAGATACATCAAAATTTAGAACTGAAATTATTAATGCATTTCCAATTAGTGGTTATCATACCAAGAAATTATATATACTGTACATGGAATCAATACGACTTTGAAAGCGGTTCAGAGTTACGTAATTATACATATAATGAGACACAAAGCATTATTTCAGAAGAAATAAATTCATCTTTACAAATTTATTCATTTATCTTTATTCTCTAGGCGTCTCGTATACTTAGTATGCTCTTCCTGCAACAACAGAACATGTTAATTTTTTATCGCACTATATATCTCAATAATCAAATACTCCATACCATTAAAACTTTTCGCTGAGTTATAGCTGCCATTCTTTGATCTTCTATCAATGTAACTTTCTCCCAAAACTTGTCAATTGATTCGGATTTCTTTTCTTTCTAAAAATATACAATATTTTGTTCAGTAAATAGCGAGTAAAACCACCAGAGCCGCATGCACACCGGCCGCAGTAAGTAGTGTTGGTGGTTATTAGTGTGATTTTAGTAAAAATTTTTGTAGGACGAAACCACTGGCCGCGGATAGTAGTTGAACTCAAACCGCAGTCCCATCCAAAGAAACAATATTCTTGGACTCGTCCGCTACAATAAATAGGAAATAAACCTGTATTGTAACAAGCGTCTTGTTAGCCAACTCAATCGCAACTTTAGGTGCTCGTTCACTGCGGACATATCGCTATGTTCTCTTTTTTTGTCAAGTCGGAAATCGATAGTACAATAAAAAACTCAACAGAGATCATTCGTGGTCAAAAGTAAAATAGGCAGGGTTGTCTACTGGGATTCCTACAAAAAAGAAGAGTTCATGATCACTAAAAAAATATCCCAAAATATGCCAAGAAGAGAGTATAAACTTGCCTTTTATTATTACAGTACTAGGAAACAAGGAAAAAACTTTCCCAAACGCGGTAAAGAAACTAACAGGAAAAATAATTTTTCTGACGTGTTGGTATACACAGTGGATTAAGTCACATGCCATGACAGAGCCATTGAGAAAATATAATGACGCTTCAGACAATTTTTCTGATTTTATATGCACATGAGTAACCAAATCAATGTTCCTCTTTTGTTAGCTTCTTTTCGTATAGAAACAATTGATTCTTTTTTGTTTTACTAAGCCGGTGGATAATTCTCTCGCAGTTAGATTGGAAACAAGCAGATCATCAATAAACAATAAATATAGTTATATATGGTTCGCTCAGCATGATAAATATATCAAATTCTTTCATAGGGTCCAAAAAAATTTATAAGACAACAAAGCAAGACCAAGAAAGAATTGTTCTAAGGTATGGTACTACGAAGAGTTATTCTGGAACAGCTTCAAGAATTGAATAAATTATAACATTAAATGATATGGTATTTTTTCGTAACATTTAATAAGATACCGAAGATTTCAAGTGAGTTATTTTTTTTTTCTAGCATATACATTATCTTATTCGTTCATGCGGCATATGTTAAACTCGATGCTTTATTAATTTTTCATTGATATAAATACATGTTAACCCCAATATTCAAATCATCATCAGTTTAAAAATAATAATTGATCTGTACTAACCCTTTTATTTTTCTTTACTATTGTTCATCATCACATTTTGTATTGATATAGATGGTGTGTGTCTTGATTGTCCGTCTCTTCCGCTAAATAATTTTTTTAAATTACTTATTTGGCATGACTTGATTTATATAATTTAACCATTCTTTCAGTACATTCCAGTTAATTTTTTCGGCAGAAGGAAATGACGAAGTTTAGATAGTGCTTCCAATACTGTTTTTCTTCCCCCTGGTTCGACAAAATCAAAATCTTCCATTAAACCATTCTTTGCTGACCATATTCGAACCTCAATTGAGTATTCTTTCGGCAAGTCTTTTTTTTCAAGTTCCACCCAATATTCTACGGGAATATCGGCTTTATAAAATGTGAAATATGCAGAAATTACACGAATTACGAATATTGTCTGTTCTTTATATTTATAGTCAACATATTTTCACTCCCAAACCCAGTACCTGGGTCAACATTTTTCAGATGTTTATCCTGTTTAAATAAATAGAGGGAAATTTTTTTTTTAAACTGTCAACAACATATTACATATATTCCAATAACAGCATAATCTTGATTCTTTATTACAAATTCTGTCAAAAAAGGATTGTTTTTGATATATATTCTGCACGGCGGGTGATTTCGGGATTTTGAGAATGTGGACTTTAGAACCATTGACAAAAGTTATTATTATTCACCTAATCTTTAAAGGGAAGTGTTTCAGATTAATCTATTATCCACAAGAGTATCAGTAAAAGTTTCGTCTGTGCCTATCACTTTGAACACCATTCATCACGACTTCATGTAATTTGGTAATGAGCGTTTGAACTTCAAGATCCGAGATGCAATTAAAATTAAATTTGGAGACGTCAAAATTCAGCTTCTCAAGCATTTCACGATTTATATCAGGAAGATAATACTGCTCTGGAAAATCGGTTACTGGGACAATATTTAAAATTAAATATATTAGTTCATTCTGAGGGATGTTGGCATTCGTAAAATTTCTAAAATGATGTATTTTGCTCATAGTTCATACCTTTAACATCAGGTATCACAACGTTCTCGGCTGAAGCTGGCAAGAAGTTTACCTTCAGTGCCCTACATGTTTATCTTTGAATTTAGATGCTGAAGGAGGGAGGTAGCTCTAATTATTTTGTTCCTTTTTTTGTGAAATCAGAGAAAAGACTCCCGGTCTGAGAGTACGTAGCGTAGGACGAGAAAACTTCACAACGAAACTAAGCAAAAAAAAAGACATTTTTCAAATCATGCGATCAGAATTACACAATTGCAGAAGGTTGTCGGAATACCTATTTGGAGGTTTGGCAATGATTATACATCAGTTCAGAAAAAGTAAAGCAAGTTAAACTTTTATTATATTTTTATGATTTTAAATTCCAACTGGATCTTAACTATTATAATGAGTTCTTATTAATAACACTGGGATTTTATCACATAAAATATATAAAATTGAACTTTACTAATTATTTGTTGTGATACAATGAATAAGGTTGATCATAAAACGTTGTCAAATCAGTTGTGATCAATCAAGATAAAATATTATTATCATCATCTAAATTAGATTGTTGTCATATTTTTGTTTCTTATTAAAACCTTTATTTTTGAACTTCAATATACCGTACAACCCTTTTGATTTTAGGTGAATCCTCTAGCATCAATGCCAAACTTTTAATGCAGATGGATCACCACAGCGAGATAAAGCATTTAATGCATAATAAATTGAATCATCTCTGTGAGCAGCAAGATGACTGAACAATAAAAACAATTAATTAATATGAATTGGTATAAAATTCTAAACATACCATATGGTAGCTTGTTCATAAACTTATTCTTTCTCAAGCTGATTGGCCCAATAAATGTAACACTAATCATTTAAAACAAGTCATAATTTAGTAAGCTCACTATATGTTTAAAGAATTAATCTTTGTCAAATTGTTGTTTAAATTATTATTTTATCAATTTGAGATATTTGCTTACTGATACATTTCAGTTTACAGTTCGATAGTTTGATACTTCACGATTATTTTTGGTAACAAGTTTTTCAGCCTGCAAACGCATTAAAGATTTCCAACATACCTAAAGAACTACCACCTTTATGAGTTTTAATAATTGTATCTGAATTAATTACTGCTTGCACGTTTTAAAAACCAAATGAATGCATAATAAAACTAAAATTATTATTATTATTATTATTATTATTATTGTTATTAGGATAAATAGTTATAATAGTAGGTATTGGTATATCTCTCAGCTAAAATATGGTTTAAAATATGGTTTAAAATATGAATATACATATTGATAAAATAATGCTTATATAATTAATAATCATATACCCAAAGGACCAAGTGCAGGTATCATCTAATCTTGATTGAAAAAACCTTCATTATTTTTATTATGCTTGACCAATCTGAAAAATCAAGACCATAATTCCAATAAAAGACTTGGGTTTACTTCTAAACCTTCTAAACTAAAAAAAGATTCCGAGAAATTATGCGAAACGACTTAAACACATAAAAAAAGGTAAAAGAGTTAACCACCATTATATCGATGGTAACGAAAATGAAATAATTAAATTAAATTAACATTCCTTTTCAATTGTTTTTCTCGATTTCTTTCCGTCATCAAAGAACAAGTTTACAAATAGAGAATTGAGATATCACGATCATTCTCCCTGGTATTCTGAATTTTTCCCAAAAATCCAGTGCCTTTCCTAAAACTCCGTAGAACCTTTTTGCAAGTTTAAAAGTGTAATGAAGATTTTTACGTCGAATAGTAGTTGAATATATTCTTTAACTTTTTGCTCTTTTTTTGGGCTGCTTTGCGGTTGAGTGGGTTAAGTGGGAGTGATTATTTTTGTATCGCAGGTTTCTACTTGAAAATTTGGATAATTTTCGATCTTTTCCGTAATACTCATGACTAATAAAAATGATTTACGTTGGACAATCGAGAATCCCACATTTGAATTAATAACAATGAAAAAATATAAATACACACAGTAATTTTCATCCCCGAAAGTTCCCCATCTTTGTGCACGGGCATTATCTGCGCCAGTGAGGAGTTATCCGAGGCCAGATTATTGCTAATTGCAAACTATACCAATAACCCGTCTCCACGACTTCTCTCTTGGGAAGTCGGTGAGCAATTTTTTGAAGGGAGTAGTCCTCCCTTCCCTTATTAATTTAAGCGGGTCGAAAATTTAGTTGAACGGTCGTTCATGTGATTTTATTTTATAATTATAATAATGTAATTTTATACAGTTAGATTTTTTATATGTTTATTCAATTGGAATTACTTTATAATTTCAAAAAATTTTAAATTTTATACAATTTTCTTAATTCACTTCACAAAATTTAATTTTTTTTTTTTTATTTTAAAGTTTAAAAACCTTCGTTTTACATGATAAAAATTTAAAAATCAATACTAAAATTTTTTTTGGAATCTTGGCCCACTCCTCCTCCATATAACGCTTCAATTCTTGACAATTTTTTGGATTACCTTTGTTTTAACGATACTCCTTAAATTTTCTATAGGATTCAGGTCGGGACTATTCGCCGGATTAGTCTTTTGCCCTTGTGCCAATATAAATTTGTATTTCTGTATAATTGAAAAGCAGTTTCGTCTGTAAATAAAACCTTTTTCCGGTTAAAATTTAAATATTTCGTGCCCATTCGACTCGCCGTTCCTTGTGTCGTGGTGTAAGCATTGGGGACTTTTGGTAAACCATTTTTCAACTATTTCGAAGTATTTAACGAGTATTGGGTATAAAAAAAAGTTGTATTCCTTTTTTTAATAGCTTGGTAGCAATACCTTTTAATGAAATAGAAGAATCTCGACGAATATACTGATGTATCGCATTTGATACTTCGGGGGTTATTTTTTTTGGTCGGCCGTTTCCACTTTTATGATTTACGCTTCCATTTTTTTTTATTTTTTGAACATTATAATAAAGAGTTGAGGTCGGAATCTTGGTAAGTTTATGCAACTCAGGCACCGAACGTACTCCGTTATTCCAATAATGTAGCAAAACTTCTTGGTGTCTTTTATTAACTGAGGTCGACATCCAACTGGGCTGTGCGAAAATTTTTAAAAGATAAAAAGAATCAAAAACGGATGAAATCGTAGCACAAAGAGTCACATTTTGATATTTAACTTTGTATAACGTAACTAGCATTAAATTGGAAAGGTTACAAATCGTTGACATTTTTTTTTCAAACCACTGTATTTCATTATATTTAATTTTCATAAAAAGTTATTTTTTTAAATATCGGGCCAACATAATTGTTTTTCAAATAAAGAATTATAATCTTGCCATGATGCATTGTCCACCCATTCTCTGGCTTCCAACCAAAACCAAAATTTAAGCCACCACACTCCTCCATCCGGATCTTTAATCCCCTTTCTTAATCCTTTTCCTCCTTCTTTTGTTCCCAACTTTCTCAAAATTGGTAAAGCACTACTTAACAAATCCATTTGTGGATCCAATTGTCTACCAATGCCTTCCAATAGTAATATTGATATTATAACGTTAATAAAATCTCCCTCTAATTTCACATGATGATTTCTTACCATTGTCAATACTGTGGTTAATATATCGGATATCCGAATTTTGCCTAATTGTAACGTTAATGTCTTCACTTTCAATACCAAATGTTGCATTTTTAATGAAAATATTTCTCCATCTATTACAAGGTCGGGTGTTTTACATCTTTCTATCATTAACTTTCCTGCTCTATATCCATCAAATTCAGCCACTGCTCGAAATAAATCCAGAAAATTCCTTCTATTTTCTAAATTTAATTTTGTCACCAATCCTGTATCAATAAATATTACTTTTGGTTGATATCCTTCATTATACATTTTAAGTAATTCCTCCGACCATAACTTTTTATCATGGCGATATCTCATCAATCGTGCTAGAGCTTCTCTTGAATCACGTTCTTCATCCATTTCATCCTCATTAAAACTTAGATCTGATGATTCTGAAGAGATCAAGAAATTTCGAAGATATGAACGCACACTAGGTTTGGTAAATTTAATAATTATATTACCAGGGTGTAGATCAGCGTGGACGAAATTATCTAATATTAACATATGCTATATTAATATATTATTAGTAAATTATTATTAGTAAATTATTATTAGTAAATTATTATTTGTGAAATTATTATTATATGTAAATTATTATTATTTGTAAATCATTATTATTTGTAAATAATTATTTGTAAATTTTTAGTCAACTTTTTTTTTTTTATCAACTTACAAGAAATGCATGAAGTCCTATATATGAAATCATATGGTCATAAATTCCTCCTCCTTGTTCAAGAAAGAATTGAATCGGAAACCCTTCTTCGAATTCCTCAATCAATACATTTTTTGTTGTATATTCCATAATTGGTTTTGGAAATTTTACTGATCTACGTGATTTAAAATTTTTTCGAAACTCTAATAAATTTTCAGCTTCTATATGTAAATCCAATTGACCATGCATCATTTCTCCAAATTTGGTAACTTCTTCCGGTAACGATAACCATTTCATTGTGGGAATTGCATTAATTATTTTAGAAAGTACCATTAATATTTTAAGATCTCTATGAATAGCTTTCTCTGCTCTTGGATGTAATACTTTTACTGCTACTGTGTTATTATATTTGTAATCCTTTTTAGAATGATCAAATGGATCGTCTTCATTATCAAAAAAAGATTTTGTTACTATTTCTGATCGAATCGTTGCTTTATATACCTATAAATATACCACACATAAACTACATGTCAGTAATATAAGAAATACAAGAAAGAAATCGTAACGCTTAGAATATACCTGTGCAATTGCTCCAATTCCAATGGGTTGTTTTTCAAATGTACTAAAGACTTCGTGAAATGATCTTTTAAATTCCTCTTCAATAATTCTTTTTGTATCCTCAAATGGATGTGGATTTACTGCAGAATGAAGTTTGGACAAACGATTACACATTTCTTGAGGAAATATATCAGTCCTCGACGCTGCCCATTGTCCAAGCTATTAATTAATAAAATCAAATTACAAACTTGCTCGCTCGCTTTAAAAATAATGTAATAAAATATGATAGAATTGATAGAATGTAATAATATATTAATAGATATTAATTTCGAACCTTAATAAAAGTTGGTCCTGCAGTCTCCATTACTCTTACCAACGTGTCATACCACCATAATGCACCAGTTCGTTCATTATCAAGTTCGATATCCCTTGATCCAATTAATAATGCAGGTGTTAAAGTTATCAAAGGTATAAAAAGTAATAATAAATATATAAATCGACAGGTAATATTGATTGGTTCCGTCACATATTCCGAAAGAAAATTCATTATTTTATTCAGCAAACTTTTTAGTTTTCGTGTTTTTATAGGTTTTTCAGATATTATTTCTACATTTTGTATAAGATTTGTTGTTGGTGGTGGAAATATCAATTTTTCATTATCTAACAATACGAATGAGAAAGCATATTCCAAATACGGCGGTATTCGTAAGATTATTCTTGGCCTTTTATTGAAGTTTTGTAGAATTACTTTTTCAGTCCAGTTACTTACACGCTTTGCTCTTATAAAATAATTGTTTTTAATTAAGTTAATCCTATTTAATTGTGGAATTCTGAAAATTATGGAATTATGAAAAGATCTTTTCGAATAAGAAACCGTTTTTATCTGTGGATTTTGGTTAACATTAATAAATAAAATTGTTCCTTTACGCGATCTTCCACTAAAGGTTGAATTATTTACAAAATTATGAATATTTCTTGTAATAAATAATATTCTTTGAACACAGGGGAGTCGTACTCCAAGAGAAACTTTAGTAAAAAATAATATTCTTGGATTCATTGAAATGTAATATTGAAATCATTTTCGCGCCAAATTTTACTAATTTTACTACTTATGTACATATACAATTGGTGTTACCATTTATATTTTTAAAGATAATCTCAAGATTTATTAATTCACAAAATTTAAGAAAATCGAAGTGGCAAGATTTTAAAAATGGGATCATTTTTTTATAGTAAATCACGTCATATTTTCTTGAAAATAATTATTATGTAGTTGAAAACAATATATATATATATATATATATATAGCAATGTACAACAGTCATTCATTTTAATTTTTCTTTACTTCTTCTTCAAGTGTTATTTTCCTTTTCCTTTATCTTATAATATATATGAAAAGTTATATAATATTTATATAGTAAAAATAAATTCTTGTATCTCATTATTTTGAATACTATTACTGATAAGGCAACTCCACGGGAAAGTGGTCACTTGAATGTGGTAATTATATTAACGAAGTTCGAATTCGTGTATGTAATTATATTAGAATTATGAGATCTAGAAGAAACACATTTACATATGGTGACATTTGTAGTACCTCTCAATCAACCCAAGAGCAAGTGCCTCCAATAATAGGGACAAGTTCTACTGGCACTGATGATCATCATGAACTTGTTCCTTACTCGAAAGATTGGACTGTAATATTGTAAGTTTTCAGTGCACTTTTATTTTTTTAGATCGTAATAAATCTTTTGAACGTTTTGAACGTTTTGAACGTTTTGAACGTGGTTTGTAAAGTTATCGCGAAAAAATAATCAATATAATTTTAATAATAATAATGAATGAATGAATGTATAAATAAATTTTGTTATATAAATTTTTTTTTCTAAATGTCAAAAAGCAGTATTTATAAATCTTGATGTCAATTCATCATTTTCAGGCGAAATCAAGAAGCTGGTCAACTTGTTTTATATAATACATCTAATCATCGCGTCTCCGTAAGACGATTACCACCAAGCGAGGTTTCTGAAACTACGCAGGTTACATTTGTTTACACAGTTACAGTGAATAATAATATTGTGCCTTTTATACCATATTTAATTAGCATTATGCACTTTATATTATAAAGGCTTTATCATCCCCTAATGCGTGTGTTCTGTGCCGAAGACCTTTTGACATGTCACCTCTTTCTTCCAATAGGGTTTGTTATAAAATTTTCTTTGCCTGGAATGATTTGACTTAAATAGAATCTAATATAGATATTTATTTATTTATTTATTTTGCTTACGTGTAATAGCCTTCAGAACCAGATTTTATGGTTAGAAATTACTTTCGTTTATTAGAAAATTCAGAAAATTCGGGGAGGTTGGTCATCAACTTCATCAGCGATTATAATAAAATATTTAGGATCACAATCACTTATATAATTCTATAATTCTATAATTCTATAATTCTATAATTTTATAATTCTATAATTCTATAATTCTAAATTTTATAATTCTGTAATTAAAGTTCAACATCATCATATCAACCATTTTCATCATTTGGGGATTTTATTCCGACAACAGTAATTCCCGAAGATCCTTCAACACTTTCACAAAGTTCTTTTAATCAAGGGTATTATCAAAGATTTTTTATTGAAGAAAAACAATTGGGTAAAGGATTTCGTGGATCCGTATACCTTTGCAAGGTAATCTTTAATCTTCAGAGACACGTGCATATGAGTTTAATATAATCTTTAATAAATAAATTTGAATAATAATAAATAGCATGTCCTGGATAATGTGCCACTTGGTGAATATGCCATTAAAAAAGTGGCTGTTGGTGAGTATGATATAATAATATAATATTTAATTTATTAATAATTAATTTTATAATTTTATTTTTATAATTTTATTTTTATAATTTTATTTTATAATTTTATTTTACAACTTTATTTTACAAATTCATTTTTTACAACTTCATTTTATTAGGAGATAATCACACTTGGTTGGTTAAAATGTTGAGAGAAGTTCATTTATTGGAAAAATTACGTCATCCGAATATTGTGGATTATAAACATGCTTGGTTGGAATATCATAAATTAACAAATTTTGGTGTGTAATTTATTTATTTACATTTCTGTAATGATTTAAATAATGTTAATAATGTTAACTTATAATAAAAAATTGACATTATTAGGACCGGAAGTGCCGTGTCTATTTATATTAATGGAATGTGCAAATGGAGGAAATTTGGAAGAATATATTGAATTTAAATCACAAGAAGGATTTGAAGAACCATCACTTACACCGATTGAACGTAAACTTCGAGCCAGAAGGATGCGAAATATGAATCATAATATACATGAAGAATCTTCGTCTTTTAATCTATCTGGTCCCTCAAAACATTATTTGAATCTTCAAGAAATTTATTCATTATTCTTGGATATTTGTAAGGGATTGGCTCATTTACATCAACATGGAATTTTACATCGTGATTTAAAACCTTCTAATTTGTTGTTACAATATAATGATGATAATCGAGTTGGAATGTTAGTATAGAAAATTTATTTATTGTTAAAAATAAATAAAATATTATTTTTTTAAAAAAGTTTTTTTTTTTGTTACTTAGACCAAGAGTTTTAATATCAGATTTTGGAGAATGTGAAATTTTAGATCAACTCACAGATCGTGATCGAACAGGTGCTACAGGAACTTTGGAATTTATGGCACCTGAATTATTAAAAGGTAATTATTTATTATTTAACACAATGAAATGATTTGATTAAAAAAAATATTTGGGAATATTTATATACAAAAAAATTTTTTTTTAAAAATGTAGTGGACGAAAGAGGATTATATCATAAAGATTATTCTTCTAAATCTGATATGTGGTCACTAGGAATGGTACTTTATTATTTATGTTATTCAAGACTTCCTTATCGTCAAATTGATGATGTTGATCTTTTAAGACAAGAAATTATAAATTTCGAAAAGTTTGTTATTTTTAATTAATTATTAATATCAATTAATATGATTAATATAATTAATATATGATTAATATAATTAATATATGATTAATATAATTAATTTTTTAATTTTTAGCATAACATTTCCTAATAATGAAGCCTCATCAAGTATAAATTACCCAAATCATAAAATTCCTCTTCAATTAAGAAAATTGATTACACGTTTATTATCGAGTAATCCTAAAAATAGACCATCATGTAAAGAAATTTTGGAATCTATTGAATCTATTGGAGATACTAGAACAACTTTTACCACCGGAGAATCCGTGCCAGTTAGTCAAAAAACTTCAAATGTAATTTTAAATTCAATTTATCTATAATCAATATATATTTTTTCTATATCGTGAAATAATATTCTTACCTGAAATTTTATTTAAGATTTCGTCCATGACGGATGACATTCCTCAAGCGCCAATTCCTTCCGTTTCCGTTAATGAAAATCGTTTAGAACCTCCAAAACTAGTTCGTATTCCATCTAATAATAGTACGGTGTCAACGGTGTCAAGTGTGGAGGAAGTTGCATCAACATCATCACATTTCCCAACACATCAAAAAATGATGTCTTCTTCTACAGAAAATTCATCATCTTCAAAAGTAGATATGAATTTAAGACAACGTATAATTACTAGAAATCATAAAATATTAAATTCAAACAATGATGATGATATCGAAAGGGAAATAATGTTTGAGTCGAATCCACCGATTATTACGGTTTGTTAACTAAATTCATTTATTCATTCTTCATCACTTATGAATTTTTAATTTATTGTTCATTTTTTTGTTTATTTTTTATTAATTTAATTTAACTATTCTATTCTATTCAATTCTATTCTATTCCATTCCATTCCATAAAGAATGTTTCAATGAATGGAAATTCGACCGCCATAGTTCGTGTAACACCATCATCTCGAATGCCTCATTTTTTGAGAATTATCTGTTCTCATGTATCTGAGAGTAGTTTGAAAATAATAAAACTTGCAATTGTTTTATTAAAGGCATGAAATCAAATTCTTTTCTTTATTAAATTATACATATATATATATATGTTTATATTCATTCAGTAATTATTAATTAAGTCTGCTTTATTTTATCAAGATTACATCATGTGTATCCCCTTGTTCACCACTTTTACCATCTCCGTGGGTATTTTATCCAATTTTAATAATGGCTATATTGGATCTTTGGGCGTAAATATTTTATTTATATTTTTTGATTGATTTATTTTAACTTATATTTTTGATCCATATTTTTGATTCATATTTTTACATATATATATATTTTTGTAATTTCACTTCTTCATAATTAACCATATTGAATTATAGAAAATCAAGAATGACGAGAATACTTTTGGCGATTGTACATATATTATGGGTGTCAACATTTTTCATGCTAGGAAATTATTGCGATAATAAAATTACACGACATGTTTAATATGGTTAAGGTGATAATATTATACCGTTCGGATTGGGATTTTCCGCGTGAAAAAATTTGTTGAATAATTTTCAATTTGGTTAATTAAATTGGGAGGGAATTGTTTGTATATAACATAATTTACACATTTTTGCTATTGTATAATATTCTAATAATTTTATAATTTTTTTTTTATTCATTTTAGTGAATAATTATGTAATAATGCTTAATATAATTTTATGTGAAGAATCATGTGATATGTCACATTTTTATTTTGATTTTTTGATTTTTTGATTTTTATTCATGCAAGGTACCAGTATTTCTTAAATTTTCCTAAAAATCATGTTTTTAATGTATTTCAAGACTGACTAAAATAATTTTAGACAATACAAAATGAATTAATTTAGTAATCACAATAGTTCAAAAGATAATCAAATAAAAATTTCATTGAAATAAATATTATAAATATACAATATATTGAAAACATATAAATAAATAAATAAATATATAAATATATAAATATATAAATATATATATATATGTATGTATGTATAATATTGAAAAGGTAAGGAGAACAATGAAATACAAAAAAAGATTGATAAATCATTCAATATTTTCTCATTTTCTCATTGATGCCATTACAATAATTTATTTGTTTAATAAAACTTATGAATTTAGTTTCATTGTCCAGATTCTAGCATCTTTGTGTATGTTATGGTCAAAGCCGTGGTAAATACATTTTTTTTTTACATAGTTCACTACTTCACAAATTTAATTATTTATAAAAAAATAAATAAATGTAACAATTTAATAACAATGAACCAAATATGTCGCATTGTAAATAATATAAAAAATAATAATAAATTGATTATATACACAATGTATATAATAGATAATATAATAGATAATATAATATAATATAATATAATAGATAATAATAAATATGAATGATATATAATAATAATACTAAAATATATAATAATAATAATAATATATCTAAAATATATAAATTGAGATTACAATATAATAAAATGCATGACAGATAAATATTTTTTGACATTAAAAATAATAATAATAAAATATAAAATAAAATAAAACAGTCCTATTAAAAGATCCCTATCTTGAAAGATTCGGAAGATTGTTGTTGTGTGCATTTAATTTCCTTTATACACCTGAATTCGGCTAAATATTTATTATTTGTTCTAACGCTGTTCTTGCGTTATTTTTAAACAAAACATTCTCTCCTTACTAAATTACCTATTCCAAAAATGAATTTCTTTTAATAAAAAATGTCGGGTGACCGAACCAATCAACATGATCATCGAAAATTACTTATTTCCTAAAGTTCCTTTTTTCTTAATCCAACGAAAACGAGGAATGCAATAGAGGAATGCAACAGAGGAATGCAACAGAGGAATGCAATAGAGGAATGCAACAAGGAATGCATGTATGGTGTGTTACATTCGCGCGACTTGATGCGGTGGTCCTTTTGTACGTGGTCATATCGATTAATTTCTACACATCCATAAAAATTCATAAAAAATTTTGGTTGCCATTTTCCAGTGATTCCTCTTTAGGTTGTTTCACAAATTGCACAAATTACGTTTCTACTTATCGAGAAAGTATCACAATAAAAACGTCCAGTAATTTATCATCATTTGTGATTTCTTTTGATTATTTGATTGCTTTCTGATTTTATATATTACACTAGACATTTTACACACTAAAATATTTGCACACCAAATACACTAAATTTGTAACGCAGAAACCTCTCTTTTAAACAAAACTACACAAACTACAATAAAACTACAATAAACTACAATAAACTAAATAAACTAGAAAAATATTATCTATTATAATAATTAACTATTGTAAAGTATTGTTATTGTAAAGTCATTATTTATTATTTAAAAGGAAGTCTAGATTTATAAATACGTAGTCCTCGTATATTTTTTTGTTTGTTTCTCTGTCAATTTGTCAATTCTCTCCGTGTGTTTACGGTGATATCGTTCGTTGTTTGCTCTTCTATATTTCTTATTCTTTATAACGAAAGGATAGGGTTTCTTTTTTCAACCCTTTCATGAAAATATAACTTTCTATTAATAATATACACCAATTATCTTTCTTCTGTAACGATCTGTATAATCTGTATAAGTAGTAACGAATTAAAACTTCCCCGTCGTTTTTTGCTCGGTTTTCTGCACGTTCGCTGCAAAAAAAAAAAATCATTATTTTTAAACCTTCACATTTTTAGCTTTATTGGCTTGACTTTATTAGTTCTTTTAGTTGGAACATCCATTTTTATGATTTGAAACGACTTTCTTATATTAATTACTACTTTTTTTTCTATTTTTCGATATACATTTTATTTTCACGAAAAACTTTCATTTTCTCGGCTTTTATGCAATATTATTACAATCTGTAATATTTTATCTTTTATGCATAACTGAATAAACAATTTACCCTTATATTCTTTCCTTTATATTACCTTTATAGTTGTATTTATATGAATTTTTTTTCTACCGAAATAAATTCATCTTGCAATCTTTTGGTATCATTCCTTGTAAAAAATTTAATTTAATTTCTTATTAGAAATTCTTACTACTTTTTAAATATTAGCAACAACACCATCTAAAATTTTCAACGAAACCTATATCAAGTAATTATGTTGTCCAAAATGACTACAACCATGACAGTTGACAGTAATGAAATAATAAGTTTACGACAAGAAATGGATTCTGTAAGTTTTTTTTTTTTTTTAATTATCTAATCTAGACCTAGACATATATGCTTAAATATTCAAAAAAAAAAAAAAAATATTTAAATATGTAAAAATGGATTATTTATATTAAAGACATTTAAACATATAAAAATAATTTTGAAAGTATTCTCTATTTTTCTACCAAAGAATTTGTTTCAATCTAATTTTATTTAAATTTATATCAGCTTCGTGAACAACTCATAACTTTAACAGACGACAATAATTTTCTTCGCAAAAAAAATTCTTCACTTCAACAAGAGATCACTAATGATCATAATGAATATGCACGAATAGAAACAGAACTTTATAATCAAGGACATGAAGTAGAAAGATTAAAGAAAGAAAATGTCGGATTTTTGAAAAACAAACGGGAAGTGGAAAGGAAATTAAGGGAGGAGGTACAATCTACTTTTATTTATTTTATTTCATTTCATTTTATTTTATAAATATTTTATATTATTTTATTTAGATAATCAATAGTTATAGATTAGAGATATTAACAAATATTATATATATATATATATATATTTATTTATTTATTATTTTTAGACACAAGCATTTGAAAAAGATAGAATTACGTGGCAAGAAAGAGAATCTGAATTAATTGATCAAGTTAAAGCACTTCAAGAAACCATCAATGTCATTGCCCAACATGAAAATGCACAAAAGAAAATTAGTCAACCAAATCTCCGTGATGGTATAGTTACAATAATTTTTTTTAATAAACCCTTCATCGCTTTCTCATATTTTCTCGTCGTTTTCGTTGAATAGACAATAATAATCTATCAGCAGGACAACAAGTTTTTGATCTAGAAAGTGGTGAGCGGTGATTCGAGAATGAAATGATGGAAATAGAATTAATAGAATCTAATGTGAAATGAATTAGAAAGAAAACTAAAATATAATGATTATTCTTAATATTTTATTTATAGATAATTCAGCTACCATTACAAATGGTTCAGGTTATATTTTTAATCGTGAAGTAAGAACCGCCCAACGAACCATCAAAGAACTTGAGAGACGTCTTAATGAATTGACGACTGAAATTGAAAATGCCAAACAGGCAACAACTGAATCTATGAATTTAAATAAGATTCACGCTCGTAGAATTCATTCATTAGAAACTGAATTATCTCAAGAGAAAAATCTAAGCCGAACATTAAGAGAAGATATTGAAGGATATCAATTATTATTACACGAAAAGACTATGAAGGGTGAATTTATGTTAAACCCTATTATGCAGGTAAATATCTATATATTTATATATATATATTACATAAATACGTAAATACAATTATACTTGTGTCAACGAAATAAAGTATTTAAAGAATTTTATTAATTATAATTATTATTATTATTATTATTTTTTACAGAGAAATAATGTTAAGCTCGATAAGAAATTCGACACTATTATTAAGGTGACTAGTCACTCAAACAAAGATGATGAAACTGAGGTTGATAATAAAGATAATCCTTCAATCATAAAGAAGAAATCTCTTAGTAATGATTTAGAAGCTGAATTGAATCGTGCTTCTACGCTTAGAGAAACTTTGTTGGGTGAACGTGTTTATAAAGAAAGTGATCATACTGTAATTGAAAGTATGTAGTTAAATTCTCTCTTTTTTCATAGAAATTATAGAATTTATTGATTGTTGTTTTGATTACCATTATTAACATTTAAATAATTTTCTTCATCATTTGTTAGTTTCGTGTGTTCATTATTCAGAATTATTAGATGAGATCAAATCACTTAAAGATGCCAATAAATCAATGGCTCTTTACATTGAAAAGATTCTTAATCGTATCATGGAAGCACAAAGTGAGGAACTTTTATCGACTGATTGGTCTGCAAAGGTGGCAGCCTCGAGTCCTACTTCTCCCACATCAGGAGGATTTCCCTTCTCGGATAATATAAATGCTTCCAGCCCTAAGAAAAAGGAACGTCGCAAAACAGTATCCGGTCCATTTAACGGTCATTTCCGTAGTACATCTCAACCTTTAAGTACTTTCTCTCCTCAAAAAGATAAGATAATAACAGAAGAACCAGAACCAAATGCTTCATCTGGAAACAAAAAACAAAATGATGGTAAACTTAAAGTAGACACTCTTTCACCACCTACGGAATCAACTCAAAGAACAAACCAACGAAGGAACTCTACTTCTACCAGAAATTCTAAACGCTTCAGTATTTTTGGGTGGGGTTCTAAAGAAGATAAAAAAGAGGATAAAAAAGAAGATGAATCCATACAAGAAAATCAAGTTAACTAAATGATAACTATGATAACTGAATAAATATTATAAATATTATTAATATTATATGAATTTTTAAATTACGTTAAATTAGTTTTTTCTCAGATATCATTTTTTTACTTTTTTTTTTTTTGGTTAAAATTTTTCCTTTATTTTTATTTTTTTAAATTTGAAAAAATTTGAAAGTAAAAAATTCATTGTAGTTATACTATTAAGAATATTTATTATTCTTTTTTTTTTTCTGTAAATTTATTTTTTATAACTTTATATTTATTTTATATACCATTACATATATATGCAAATTGCAAAAGTGCATTGAAAAAAAATAAGACAAAAAAAATTAAGACTATAAATATATATACTATAAATATACATACTATAAATATATATCAAATTTTATTTTATAATTGGGATGATTGTATAGTAGTGGTTAATTTTTTTTTTTCTCAATTATAACGTTTATTATTTGTATTCTGTATATATATCTCTCTCTTGCAACTCTTGCACACACATAAATGATTTGATATATGTTGTAGTGAATTTCTTAAATAAAGTAATTGTTTTTCGATGCAACAAAAAAATAATTTTAAAGTTTGTGATCTGATTTACATAAATTGATAAGCGTTACTAAGTAAAAGGGTAAACAAATTTAAAAAATTTTAAAAACTTTTACCAAAAGTTTTGTTAAGCATTAAAATTAAAAACTATCACCTCTCAAATCTACATGCTGCCCAAATTTAGAAAAGGAAATATTGTCAATAAAATTTTGCTAATCTTATCGTTAATATTTCTTTTTTTGATCAACTAAATTATTCACAACTAACTAATCAAAACTAATTTTATTGGCTAATCATGAAATGTTACAGTAACAGTTGTTAGAAACAATATTTGAAATTCAAGTTTTAAATCCTGTGCACAATTTAGAAATTCTATAATGCAGAATATCTATAATAGGAACTTGGTTATAATAAAAATTGTTTAATCTTTTTGTATAAAACTTTATTTACTATATATAAAAATTGGTAGTCCAACTTTTACTGTGGTTGAAGTACCCACCAAATTTGAGAATATACTAAAAATAGTAAAACATTATAATTTTGCATAAAAAACTATTCCTGAAGTTTTATATTTAATTTCTTTAATTACTATTTGAAAATATGTACAAAAATTTTGAAGATATATAGATATAAATATATAGAAAAGGTATTACTGAAAAAAATGACAAGATATGCAGTTAAAAAATATAAATCTTATTGTCATGTACTTGATACAATTTATGATATTTATGATATTTATGATGAAATCAAATAATTAAAATTTCAATAAATGAAATTATTTTTAAATTCATTTTTTGAATACTGATTGGTCAAAATCGCATCATGTGTGCTTACATAAACCATGAAAATTGATAGCATATTGAATTTCAAACGCTGGTTACGAATATTATTATTTATAATAATTTTAATACTATAATTAAAAAAATATCTCCAACAGTAACAACCTGTTATATGTGGAATCGCCCACAGCAAAAAGGGAATTATTCGATTTTGAGAAAAATTACGTAACGAAAATTTACAATATTTATAATATTTGAAATTTTAATATACTTGAACGGAAAAAGACATTTTCCAATAAGTTGACAAAATCTCAAAATTCATTGGGTGAGCCGGAAACCTCGGGCGATCCCATATATTATTTGTAAAAACTAATTTAAAATGTATTAAATGTTTCTTGCCAATCGCACATGTGATGTATTCGCATTTATAAGGGTCAAGGATTAGTGGTAACATTATTTTTTCGTTTCCGTCATATGAATTTAAAAGTAATGGAAATCGTAATAGGTTCGTTGCAGCTGTGTTAGAGATAAGAAAGAAGCGTACAATCTAGATAGTATCGCTTATATATTTGTACACATTGTAAATGCATGCAGAAGAGATAACATTTTTAGGTTAGCACATTAGAATAAGATGCAATGTATAAATAATAATAAAAAAAAAGCTAGATCTTTGTTTGAAACAAAACAAATTCATTTTATTAATTAAATAAAAATAATTATTTTCACTAAAATTAAATCACAATAGCTAAATTATTTCTTTTAAGTATTTCTTTTACTCTATTAAAATATAAATTATAATTAATTAAATATTTAATAAAACCCAATTTAGTTCTCATAAAATACTAAAATAATAATTTTTTTATTTACTGCGAGAAAGATTAAAACTGTAATACTAACACATGGTACTTTTAACCTTAAATGGTAAATAATAATATATGTACTTCGGCAAAATCCGGTATTAAATGTAATAAATGTATTACCAAATAAATGCGAGAAATTTTAAATCTTTTATTTTTTATTAAAAACAAATAAAAACAAATAAATAAGAATTTTATTTTAAAGAGAGAAAAAGAGAGAAAAAGAAAGAAAATTCAAAAAATAAGATGGCAAATTATGGCAGATATTACATTAGAAAATATCAAATATGCACAGTATTTTTCATATTTTTGATAATATTTTTGTTTAATCCACCTTCACCTCTTAGTCCTCCTAATGGGAAGAATGGGAAGGAAGATACGATTTCTTCTAATGATGATATAAGTAATAATAATAATAACAATTCTAATAATAATCATCTTGATAATAATCCTAATAACGATTACATTAATAATAATCCTAATAACAATGATACTGATATTAATCCTAATTACAATAACATTAATAATAATAATATCATAGAAGAAGAAATTTATTTTCCAAATGTGACAATTCAAGATTCTCAAGTTCTCAATATTTCCGGAAATTATAATTTATTAATTGTTATTAGTTCACCAATAACAGAATTTAAAGCCAGGAAATTGATAAGAGAATATCTATTTGATATAAAAGATAATATAAAACTTTGTATGAAATTAGATGCGGAAATTTATTACAAGTTTTTAATACAGCCACACAAAAAAAATGAAGATTATAAAAAAGATGAAAAAGATGAAGAAAGTGTTTTGCGAAATTATGCTGCAGAATTAGTGGAATATGATGATATGATAGAACTTCAGAAAGGATCTCAATATAATTGGCAAGAAACGATATTCGAATGGGTAATTATTATCTAATAATTTATTTAATTAATATATTTTATTATTTTATTATTTTATTATTTTATTATTTTATTATTTTATTATTTTATTATTTTATTATTTATTATTTTATTATTTTATTATTTTATTATTTTATTATTTTATTTAATTAATCTATTTTAATATTTTAATATTTTTAATATTTTTATTAGATTTTATCACTCAAAAATAAACATATTACTTATAATCATGCAGTTATTTTCGATGTACATTCAATTATTAATATTGAAAAAATTCAAGAAACTTTGAGAAATTTAAAAATCAATGTATTTGATTTTACTGAAGATCAAAGCAAGAATCTCGTTTGGGGACATTTTGAAGATACTAAAAATAGTAATATGTTCGCCGTAATTGGGGAGGGAGCTATTTCACAAATGTTAAGTTACAAAAATAAAATTGATCATTTTGACAATGTGATATCTCAACTTTACTATTATTATCAAGAAAATCCAAATGAAAATCCACTTTACTTTGTAAATGATAACATAGGAGTATTTGATTGGACATATTCTGAAGAAATTGATCCGGTTGATGAAGATGATGCTATAATTGCAATTGTAAATATTTATTCGAGTGAAGAAATGTTAAATTTATTTACACGTCTGAATTTTCAGAGAATCAAAGTCTGTCAGCCACAAAATTTATCAATTGCTGTTATTACTAGTAGTTTCTTATATAATAATATGTGTATGCTTCCAGCAACATTAAAAGTAGCCAATAACAAAAGAAATTATGCATTAAAACATGGATATTCCTTTATTGGAAGATCAATAGAATTTAGTAAACAAAAAAAGAAAAATAGAAAAACTGTATGGGGTAAAATTGATTCAGTGGAAAATGTTCTTCCTTATTATGATTGGTTGTTTTGGATGGATATGGATGCAATAATTGCTAATCCTAATATTACTATTGAAAGTCTTTTGGATAAATTTAGATTAATGGTAGAAGATTTTGAGGATATAGATTTTGATGATATAGATTTAATAGTGGCTAAACCATCACATGATCACACTATTAATGCTGGAATATTTTTGATAAGGAATTCAGATTGGAGTAAAGAATTTTTGGAAGATGTACAATTACAACAACAATATTTTAAAACAAAGATGTATGAACAAGGTGCAATGTGGGATTTAATACAAGAACCAAAATATAAATCTAAAGTAAGTTAATAATAATTATTTATTTTAAAATTATAATTTGTTATTTAATTATTAATTTTTTTTATTTTATATTATTTTTTAGACAATAGTGTTAGATCGAGATGATCATACATTCAATACATTCCCTAAAAATTATGTTTCTGGTGATTTTATTATTCATTTTGCACCCGATGGATGTCCCGCCGAATCGATTCTTGATGCATTCGTTAAATTAGAGGAATACCAAAATAATCCTGACATGGAAATTTCATTTTAATATATAATAATATAATTAAATTTATATTTTAAATATCTATAAATATTAATAGTTAATTAATAGAATAATTAATATATATATATATGTAATATAACAGTATAGATTAATAAATTAAATAATTTCATTTATTTTAGTTATTACTTTTTTTTCCTTCTCAACTTAATGAAAATCGAAAAAAAGTTTTCTTGGGATTATAATATTTCATTTATTTATAGATTTTTTTTGGGGGGTTTTCTGCGCAAGTGCGTGATGCTTAGGGCCGTGAACATACTGTTTTTTCAAAGTTACGTCATTACTTACGTCATATGACTTAATATAAGTATTATTACGGAATACCTCATAATTTAACTTAGAAAGTCTAAAGACACCAAGCCGCTGAAATTTAGTGGTTAATATGTCATATGATTTATTATATAAGTGCTTGACAAGAAGTATTACAATAAACATTAACTAAAATATTTGATGCCTTTAAAACTTTCTGTTCCATAATAACTGTATATTAAATATAAATTCCTGTGATCACCTTCGGTAATTGCGATTTATGATTTATTATCAACTATGAAACTTTTTGGTTGACGACATATAAATAAAATTCAAATATAATATTTTATTGATCTATACATATATTATTATAAATATTATATAAAAAACAAATTGCTTTAAAAACCAAAATTTTATATAATATATTTTTTTTTAATTCATTATTAAAAAAAATGAGATTTACATGAAAGAGAATTTTATATGAATTATGATAAATTTATAAAATATTTGAAATAATATAATTGACGTATGTGGTTTGACAAAAATAAAGATGAGGAAAGTTTATATATTAAACGATAACGACGAAAATTTTGTCTTTTGAATTGGTAATAATATATTCTAAAGAAAAAATCTAGACAAAAAAAAAAAAAAAACTATAAAAAATAAATACAAAGAAAAAAAAAGCAAAAACAATTGTCCATTTTTTTTTAAAACAAAATATACAAGAAAATTAACCCTCCACATAAATAATCATATAAGTAAATAAATGGTATTATCACCATCCAAAATGTTCACAATAATAAATAATAATAATTAAATCTATATACTAAAACGTCTTGACCTTTTAGAATGAGAAAGTGATTTAGAACTTTGATTCTTAGAAATTGAAATTGAAACTGATTTTCTATTATGACCCATATTTCTATTAATTTTATTTAGATTCATATTTTGAATATTTTGATTAGTCATATTTCGTGTTCTTATTTTATGAGTTTTAGTTACCAAGAATCCATCACTACCACCAAAAGGTCCATTACGTTTAGGTCTTCGAAGTACAACACGTTTGACTTGTCGTATATTTTTGGTCTCGTCTATTATTATGGATGGTAACGACAATCTTTTATTATTTACTGGAGGAAATGAACCAGGTATATTTATTTCTATATTTAAATCATCATAAATATCATCATAATCATCATCATCATCGTCCATATCAAATTCTTCTGGTTCTTCGGTAAATGTGTTATATACATTATATTTATTATATTTATTATATGAATTATATATATTATATGTATTATATGTATTGACTTTATTGATCATTGTAGGGGTTTTTTTATAAGTAACAAAAGTATTTTCTAGTATATCGGATTTTTCAATTAAGGTGGACACGTTATCTATATTGTTTTTCGCATAATTATTATCTTTATTATCAAAGATATTTTTCTCGTGTCCGGCACGCTTTAACCATTCATTAGTAATTTTTTGTCTTAATAAATGAGCTAGATCTTCTTCATTATCATATTCTATATAACTTTCCTCATCTTCACTACTATCTATATCCACAATTTCCAATTCATCACTATCATCACTAATTAATTCTTCATCTTCAAATTTCCTTACTTTATTTATATTAAATTTAGTAGTAATTCCTCCCCATTTCCCTTCTTTTCCTCCTCCTCCTCCTTTAACTACTTCTGTTTCTTCCCCTTTCCATGTTTTGGCCTTCATTTTAAGGCCGGTACAAAATTTGACGTTTTTTTTTTTATCCTCCTCCAACATCCTAGAATCACTACTATCTCTCCTCTCACTCTTATAATCACCATCTTCATAAATCATTCCAAATGGTTGAGCTGGTTTTAATGAATCAACCATTCTAATTACTTGTCTTCCTGCAACTTCACATAACCATGCATCTAATACCAAAGATCCAAGTGTAAACAAAAATGTCCAATACATAAGATTCATAAAGGTTCGAAGTGTTCTTTTTATTCCTCTTGAATTATTTATATTATCAGTGGTTTGAAGTGATTCAGACATAAAGTTATTGGTAGCCCATAAGAAAGGAAGGATAAATGCACGTGTAAGAATACGACATTGTTGGGCAAAATAATCCAAATCTGCTAGATTTTCACTGGGATTTTTTATAAGATCTGCAGTTGAATCTAAATATTGAAGACCATAATCTTCTTGTACCATTGATTCTTCGGTTGTAATTTCATCTACAAGATGACCAAAGGCCTCTAAACTTTGACCAATTTCAAGCATTTTATTTTCAAAACCCTCAAAGTTATCTACATTTTTACTCTTTGCTCGTTCGTGTACTTTCTCTCTTTTAAGTCCTCGACCTCTTTCATGATGTTCATGAACGATATCATCATCATCATCTTCTGTTTCACTTGATGATGATTTGTCCTCTTCTTCATCCTCTTCTTCAAGTGCATCAAGTTCATTAAGAATATCCGAAAAATCAAAACCTGGTTGATTTGAACTTGATGTTCTTCGTAACTTCTTTTCACGTCCTTTAATAGGAGTTTCCACAGCTTCGGTAGCTTCATTAATGAGTGAATTTAGTAAGACATTCATTCTATCTAAAGAAGTATCACCAGAACCTTCTTCCTCGTCGTCATCTTCATTGATTTTAGGATTTTCATCAATTTTATCATTTTTAAGAGAATTTGGTACGGTAGATACAGATTGATCTCGTTTTTGTTTTGAAGAAGAACGAGACGAAGTACGATTTGGAGATACAGCACGTGAATCAGATTTTGAAGGGGGACGTGAAGAAGCTCTTGATGGAGCCCGAGAAGGAGTACGAGAAGTAGTACGAGAAGGAACACGAGAAGGTTGTTGAGAAATGGACAAATTATTAGAAGGAGTTGTAAGATTTGCGGATAATGCTGGTGTAGGATTATTAAAACAAAATTCATCAGGTATTGAACGAACAGATGATTTCTCTTCGGAAACTTTTATATCAAGAGTCGAAGTTATTGAAGGTTTTGTTGTTGCATCAGTTTTACTAGCAATAATATTTTCGGTAAGAGCCTTTAATAATTAAATAAATTAAATAAATTAATTAAATCATGATTTGTTTAAGATTTTTATGATGTATTTAGTAAATTTTCGTTATTATTTACCTTCACAGTAACTACTTGTTTCATAACTTCTTCGCTGGTCATTGTAACTTGTTTGTCATGCATTTTTTTGAGAACGGTATGAATACTAAACATTATAAATAATAATAATAATAATAATAATAATAATAAAATAATATTATTATTAATATTAAATTAATTTATATAAAAATATTTTAAACTTTAAATTAAATATTAATTAAACTTTTTTTTTAATTAATTACTTACTCTGATAATTGTGATCTTAAATCATGCATGGCAAAAGTTTGATCACTCAAAATAGTTTGTAATAAAGATTCAACTTGCGTAATCTAAAATTAAATTTATATAAACTTCTCGTTAGCATTCAACACAATTTACAAATATTATTTATATAAATTTATTTATTTATTTATGAATATTATTATTATTATTATTATAAAGTAATTATTACCTTTTCAAGCATTTCTCCGTCCTTTTCTTTTTTATCTCCTCCATTAGCCAAATATTCAGAATGACCTGTAATTACTTCTCTACTTTTTTCTAATAATTGTTCTATACTCATTTCGTCCCAAAGTGAACATGTTTGTGAATATGGGGGTGGTGGTTGAGCTTCCTCCAAAATATCATCCCGGTTAAGTTCTATTTCTGGCGAAAGTTTTTCGACTGAAGAAAAGTCGTCGTTGCCTAAGCAAGTGTCTAATATAACTTCATCCTTTACCGGGTGGACTATTGGAGTTGTAGGGATGACTTCTGTAGTCATTTTTTACTTTTTATTTTTTATTTATTTAATTTATTTATTTATTTATTTTTTTAACCAGTTTAAAAGAATATTTTTTTATAAAAAAAAAAATGTATTTTGCCACTATTATAAATGAAAGGTAAAGATTACTATTTTGATATCGCTCAGCGAAAACGTATGTCGAAAATGTGGCGTGTTATATTTTTATATATTTTTTTAATTTCAAAAAAAAAAAAAGGTATTTGCGGCTAGCGCTTTTATTATAAAAATAACAAAACCAAAATTTATAAGTTGTTTATGTCTATTGAAGTTTAGCTACAGTTAAATAGCTTTATATAGGATCTTTAAGTAGTGTAGTTTATAAATTTTGATATAAAATAAAAAAAAATTAACAAAAAAATTATAGTTCTTCGATGTCTAAGGTCAAAAACGGGAGAGTCTAAAGGGCAAGGATTAAAAAGAGAAATATCGAGGATTGTTTTACAATATTCGATAGATTATGGAAAGTTTGTGTTAGGGAAATCTTGATTAAGTGAAAGAGGCGTGAAATTCATAACTCAATAAAGCTAAAATTTACCTTAGCAAGCATGATCTCACAATAAAATTTTTTTAAATATTAACCCTTTTTTTTTCATTATTTTTTTTTTTATATTATAATACTTTTTTTTATAAAAGGGAAAAAAGCTGGTGATTTCAGCAATATTCGGAAAGTACAATCAATTGTACCACAATTTAGATAAAGGAGATTACGTACAGAGAACAGAGAATGCAGGTAGAGTTTAGTCTGTCTGTGTTGAAGCAATAATGAAAATAATGAAAATTACGTGTTTTTTATTTAAATTAGTAAAATCAGCAAAAAATCAGATGCAAATTGTAATTATCATCACTTATTATTACTTCATTTATTAAATTTATTAAATTTATTAAACAACTTAATGGTGTGAAAAACTAATTTGAACAATTTTGTTTGAAAACTTGTCATTAACTTGAATTTGTACATTTTGTATATTTTGTATATTTTGTATATATTTTGAATATTTTATATATTTTGAATAAAAAATTTTCAAAACAACGTGGAAAGAAATTTTAATAAAGATGAAAGGTGATATTACGTGTAGATCAAGATTATTGAGAGACAATATAACATATAACAGGTGTCCCCATTTTACGCCTTAAAAATTTATTATGATTGAATGTTACTTGAAAAGGATTATAGAAGGATATTTAGAATATAATAAAATTAGTAATAGAGATACCATATTGTTTGTTTGGTGCGATTGTCTTGTGAAAATTATACACTTATATCTAAATTCGCATGTTTCGCATGTTCGTCAGGTGAATACTACTTCAAAAGAATTCGTCCAAGAATAACCCAAGAATAGTTATATTATTTTATATTCTTGAGAAGAAAAAAAAAAAGTTCCAAGTCAATCAATAACCAATCGGAAGATTGAATTCCTGATAAATAAGATATATAAAAGTAATAAATGGAATAAATAGAATAAAATAGAATATATAATTTAATAGATAAAATATAGCTGTTGTATCCATTATTATTATCCTCTGATTAATCTTTGATTGTGACCGATAGCTTGATAGAGAGCAGCAGAAAGTAAACTGAACGCACGCACGCCCATGCTATTTTGTATGTTTTTTATGGAATCAAAAAAAAAAATAATTCAAATTTTGGGATAGAAACTGACGCGTCATCAATTAATAAATATAATAAGTCGAATAAGTGAATTAAGTTCATAGTAATTACCGCAAATTGATATTCTCTCACCCCACAATCATAGTTTCGTAAAATTAAACTTTTTATTAAAGGCTAAACTAAAATTATTCTAAAAACAAAATAATAACATGTGATATTTCTGAACAAATTTTATTATTCTCTCTTTTGAAATTCAATTTCTGGCACAAAGATTGATTATCAAACCAAGTTTTGTCAATTCTTTGTACTTTCTTTTCACTTTTGTATGTCACCGTTTTGTTTGTGTAAACAATCATCAAACTGTAATCCAATACCCCTACTTTTTATTTTAAAACTATATAGTTTAAAATTAATCCTTGTCTACATTTTATTTGAGTCCAGTGATGATGTAATTAATGTAATTAGCACATGTCAGGTATACAAAATAAAGTGAAGATTACATCATTTACTGCTAAATCAATAAAATCAATAAAATCAATAAAATGAATAAATCAATAAAAAAAATAAAAACAATAAAAACAATAGATGATGCGGATCTCTTTTCTACTTGATGGACGAAGATTTTATTTATTTGAAGAATTCGTTCCAGGAATAAGAAAAACTTTCAGATTAGTAAAAATATTTGAGAATGTTGTATATCGTAAAGTTTATTCTTTTTTTTCAAAAATTTCATAAGATTATCAGGATCAATAAATTATAGGCTTAGCGAGCTTAAAATTATTATGTAAGCATTCATTTTACTTTTTTTTTTTTATAAAAAAAAACCGGAATTTTTACTAAATTTATATCTATCTAGTTTTTAATAAAAAACAAGAATAGAACATGTTGTCGGAATGTATTAAATAAATTTTTCGAAAAGTTTTTTGGGAATATTGAATATATATTAAACCTAAAGTTTTGATTGTTACGCAGAATTTAATATTGATATGTTTATTTTCCTCAATTAAGATGATAAGATAATAAATTTGATACATATCCAGAAGAATAGAAGGAGAATGTACATTAATAAGAAGGTGGGAAAGTGACTGCCATGATAAAAGTAGCAACGAAAATATGAAATACCACTGAGCTTATATCACAAACATATATATCATCTTTCATCTTTTTCAATTAATTATCACCATTATCTCTTGGGTAAAGACTTGTTATTGATAAAGGAGATGATAATAATGATCTTTTAGTATGAGCAAAGACTTCATAAGAGATAATAAATCTTGATCTTCAAAATGAACTTCCTCTAAAAAAGAAAATGAGATTTATCTCAAACTTTGAGACCTAAACTAAAGAAAGCAGTTAATTTTATTGATTAAAGATCAAAACACCTACATATATATATATACTGTAAGTACAAAGATGTATTAATTACTACGGGATAATTTATTGCTATAGTGCCCAGTAAATACACGGTGTTTGTTTGTGCAAAAATATATTTATATAACCTCTATAAGTTAAAGAAGCAATAACCTCTAAAACAGAAATAAAATTCCATTATATAATTTACAGAATCAGAATTCCAATTCTTAAATAAACAGGACTCAAACTAAAGATGGTACCATCACTTATGAATTACAGATTAGTACTTACTACCTACAATTTAATTCACAATATCACAGCAGGTTTACAATGGTTTAATTACATAAGTATTCAACTATGTAATTATTTCAATATTAAATAACTATTACAAATTTAATTAATTTGCAAGTTTATGAGATGTAATTAATTTAATTAATTTACAAGATAAAATAACTCAATCAATATATTCATTTTGAATAAACCAATTATTAAAATAATCATCTTTGTTTTAAAATTTATATTAATAACCTTTTTTTTTAAGCTAACTTTATCAAAAATCATTCAACAAAATGAAAAAATTATCATTTTGAAAAAAATCTTAAAAATCTAAATCTATAATTATAATCCTTTTATTTTGGATTAAAAAGTTCAAAGCTATTAAAGTTGTCTTAATAATTACAAATTAATTAATAACTATTTATATAATAATAATAACAATTTGTAATCTAATGTAATGACTAGATATAATAATCAATATAATAACTTATAATAAATAATAAGATATAATAATAACAAGATAAAAACATAATAATATAATAATATAATTAATTAATCCTTTATTAATTTTATAACATTCTTTTATTATAATTCAACTTGTTGTACTACTTTTTTTTTTTTTTTTTTTTTTTTTTTTTGTTCCAGCGAGGCCTTGCCTCAAATTTATTAATTAGAAAAAGAGAAAGTCT